ATCGAAGAAGTGTAACGAAATTATAATTCCAGAAATATATGCCATACAGTTACTAAGCTTCAACCAAATTAAATCCCATGATTGGTCGTATATCACCACCATGCTAGAAAATTAAACTTACTTTAAACTTTTCCTTGATGGTTGATCCATTAAGTAATCGTACTTGTATTTGGCAATAATCAACATCCTTTACTGGAGGCGCTTCATTTACAGCAGGCAGTGGTGAATAAATCTCCAGTGTTGTTGACTGCGGCTGTTTCAGTTGTTCAGCTAGCTTACGAGCTTCTCGATCCAAACGAATTTGTTCCAAAACACGTTTACGTGCTTCCATTTCCTTAACAAATAATTTAACTAACATTGTAGTTTCCATCCAAAACTTTTTTTTTTCAAGGTCTTACTTCACGCTTTTCACGTTTCTTTTCTTCCAATATTTTCCTCATTTCCATTTCTTTTCTTTCTTCTTCCATTTTTGCCATTGATTTCCCCTCTAGACGACGACGTTTTTCCTATAATTGCTTTTTTCTATTATAATGATTATCCAAAGGACTGAGGAGACTTAATTTAAAGCAAATTATTCTTGAAAGCCAATGAGAAGAAATACCAACTTTCTCCAGCATTTCCTTTCTTTCTTCCTCTTCCTTCTTTGCTCTTGCTTCTTTCAATTTCTTTTGCAACGCTGTTATTCTTTCTTTCTTTTCTTCTTCTGTTAACGGCTTCACAGTTTCCGTTGATTCACTAAATGCTTCATGTTTCGTACGTGCTGCATGGAACATAACAGCTTGGTCGTCGGCTAATTGTTTTCCACATCTAAAAAATCTAGCATGTATGCCTGCATGTCAAGCAATTAACCCACCTGTCGTACGACTTCGAACGTTAGATGTTTGTGAATTGAATTCATGGAAAAGAAAGAACTTGCATGCGTCACCTGACTGGAATACTGGTCACTAAAGCGGTGAGTACTGATAAAATCTGTCCAAGTATGTCTCTTAACTACAGAAATACGTTTCTTTGACTAATATTCTGCTGTTACTCTTTAATATCTCTCTTCTCCCTTACATTTCATCTTGTCTACTGTAGTCAGTCATTCAACATTATGTGTGGAAATTTTTCAAACATGCATACACATCACATTTGAATGACATTGCTTGCTGTGCTTCAGTAGATGATGGTTTCGACGGTTCCTCTTCTTCAGCAAATTCAATAATCGAACTTTCCTCTTCCGGTAACTGTTGCTCAATAGGTTTCGCCGGATTTATATCATCATCCTTCTGATGGGCCGCAATCCACTCCACCGCCTCAATCAACCCTGCCTCACCGGTTTCTCGTAACGCTTTTTCGCTAAAATCAATAACTGTAGCATGAAGTTCCAATGAATCTTGCACAATTTCTTTTTTTTTCAACAATTTGCATATTTATTTCCTCATTTCCATATTATGGAATAACTACAAAAATGAATTTTTTAAAAAGAATAAAAGCATACGCAACATCGTGAGGGAAACCCATCTCTTCCAGTTGATCCAGCATCGACATTTCCTATACAGTAGTAATTTACTTTGCAAAGCCATTCATTTCATTAAGTAGAAAAATTCAATGCAAAATTAATTTACAAGAGGAAGTCAAAGACTAAAACAGCAGCAGCCGACGAGCTTATCAAAATAGCAATACTGTTTTGTGCCATATTCATACGTTATATGCCCAAAAACACCGATACTGATACCTCCTAACACAAGTTAATCTGTTTATATTCACAATCACCCCAGTGCTTACTAATATTGCTTGTGAATACTTGGAAAAGGAATTAAAGAAGAGATATCGAAAGTCTCAAATATCTGATTTAATTATCTCCAAATTACAGCGTACTAACACGATGTATGGATGATGCACTATGACATATTCACTGTTAAAGAAGCATTTTTAAATAAAAAATATTTTATTGGCAAACACATCTGCTGAACAAAGCAAGCCACTTATCAAAGCGACAAGTGATCTTTAAGCAGCAAATCTAAAAAGTTGCTTTTCATTGACAAATATCTGTAGGGAATAATTATCTTATTGGAATCAATGGCAGTAGTAGGAAAATTTCCATAAAAAATGGAATGAGTTATTAAAGAGAACATGTACCTAAAACTATATATGAATATACACAAAGTGCATTTATAACTGCATCAATAGAGCAAAAAAGAAGCGCACGTGAAGTTTAGAATCAATGTAAAAGTAACTAGCAGTTAAGTAATAAAGCTAGAAAAAAATCTGACTAATTCTTTGTAATACTAATTTAATTAGATCAATCCAAATTTAAAGAAAAAAAAAATGAAAGACAAGAAAAAATAACGCTACGAAATGACCCTAACTATATTCAGAAATGAAAGATTTTAGAGAAAAATTTACTTTGAGGAAGACACATAAACTTAAGAAAAATATTTATAAAAATCTAGAACTCAAAAAAAAGCGAAATATAAATGTTTCTATATAAAATCATCAAATAAAATCAGACCGATTCACTGAAATTTCTAAAATAAACCAAACTTCCCACGGACTCATATGCAATAGTAAATATTTCAGCATAGATCATAGACAATGCTGTTGAGATCTCGAAATAATCACCTAGGCTGAAATAAGCGGTGATACATTACCATTTAAAGCTCTATCTACAGTGGAATTTAGTTATCGTAAATGGGAAACTGCTAAAAAAAACTAACACTCAATCAGCTTAATTTCACTTGTCTTTTAGTTGATTCAACAATCACAACTAAATTTACAAGACTAATCAAGAAGATCTGCATTTTAAACGTTAGCACAAACCTTTCATAGGAAAATAATTTAGACACGTGGTGGGAGCTCAATTCGGGATGAATTATAAACATTGCAGAAATCACAACCGCATTTCTTTAGTTCCCATGCTTCAACCTGAATATAAGTGAAATCTGACGAATAGTTCGAATGACTTTTAAAATGCAGCAAGTTTGGAATACCTTGAATTGAAGAAAATGATTACTGAAATCCATTGAAATATGATGTATTATTATAAAACTGTCTGTCCATTTCATAATGCTACTTAGTCGTTAATTTTTTATCTTCCGGATAACAGAAATTTTTTACAGCAAAATTTCCTTACTTTAACAAAAGGAGTATCGTTGCTGTTTCCGATATTCTCCAATAAATTAACCACCAACGAACCGTTTTGCAAACGCTCCACTCGGTTCACTGAACATAAGATAAAAAATAAGTACAAATGATAGAAATCTTCCTTCCTATTAAGTTATTCCTTAAAAAAACGAAGTTCACACAATCATTTCTTTAATTTCAATAAATTTGAACCTACTTCTTCCTGCTGCTTTTTGTGTAGAAGTGATCTCAGCCATTAGTGAATGACGTCTCCTTAAGAGATCTTCCTGTCGAGACTGAAACAGACATTTTCTAAGACATAATTTTTGACCCGAAATATGATAAATGGAGATAAGATAAATTAACAAATATGAATTGCTACCAATGGATCAATTGCCATGTCTTCTACCGCCATATTTAACATTTTTTCTACCGTTTCTTGACCGCGCCGAACTGCAGCCTCCAAGACAGCAATATCTTTCTTTAATTGAGTTAGTCTCTTAGTTCTAATCGCATTATCTGTTAATTTTTCATCAGCATCATCATCTAGTCGTTGTCTCTTCGGTTCTAAAAGAATAATTCCTGAACGCTTCTTCCTAATTCAATTTTCTTTTCCTGGAAATGAATGGTCTAGTTTAATATAATAAGATTTAATTTACAAGTAGTGACTATATTTGCTTTAACTCATATCCATTTCTGTAAGCAATAAAAAAACAGCCTTTTGGAACATACATCAAAAATATACATGCATTTTCAGGAAAACAAAAAATTATACCATAATTTCCCTCATTAAGTTTGTAAATGCATCTCTTAATAGTTTTTGGACAATCAAAAAAAGGACTGAAGCATATTATCAGTGATACTAACCAGTAGAAGAATCAGTGCATTCAGGTCTTTCATGCTGAATCAATAAACTTGACGTGCAATCCATCTCTTCGTCCATAGTAATCCCTGCTGATATATCTTCCATATGAACGAAAATAGCCTACGTCTTTGAAATATTTTCCCTTAAATGAATGGTAGTGAAAAACGGATTACACAAGAGATAATTTATTGAACGTTTTCAATCACATCATAATTTTTCACGCAAACTATACATCGCTAATTATAATTATAAGCATACATGGCAAAATATATTATTTTGATTAGCACATTTACCTATGCATATTTTTACAGTTCTAACTTTAACTTCATCTAACTTTCTTCACTTCTAATCATTCATAACACTACACTTCCTCATCCAACACAACATCTCTCCTCCAAATCATCCATCCACTGCCAGTCCTAATCAACACTTACGAATAAGAACGAACCAACAATCCGAACTATGTAAAGACGAAGTTTGTAATGCATAATCAACTTTTGCAGCCTTATATCGTCTGATTAAGTTTAGGTCTGTAAGTGGTACAGCTATTATGTGATAGGAAATGATGTGTTGGAGTTATGTTTACTGATTAATATTTTGATATTAATGCTTAGAATTCTTATGTTATCTCAGTATTGACCTACTCTATTCTTTTTATTGACCAAGAAAACCAAGGATAATGGGTTTCTTATATGCAACGAAGCTGTGACGGCACTATTTTGTAGACTGTTTTTGTAGATTAGTTACATTTAAAGCATCACTAGTATGAGTTTATTGTATTGTTTGTCTTCAGTTATGTGTTTCATATATTTGTAATGTATTTAATAGATGAATGATAGGATATTATGCTGTATATTCGAAAAATGTAATAAGTTAGATGTGTTGCTAGATATTATATGTTAAGGATAAAAAGAGAAATTTAAAAAAAGTAAAAGGAAGTTAGGTGTATATTAGATGTTGATAACTTTTTATTATTTTTTTCTTGCATGCAGGTTTTTTAAAAAATTTTTTATTATTTTAGAGAGGTGCTATGAGTGCCCGCCCATTGGTAACCGTTTATAATGATAAGAGCGAACCGACCGATACTCAGATCAGGCTACCCGGCGTTTTCCGCGCACCGTTACGTCCAGATATTGTTTCCTTTGTACACGATCAAATAAGGAAGAACAAACGCCAGCCATATGCCGTCTCAGTTGAAGCTGGTTTGGTTGTTTCCTTTTTTTTCTTTATTTATTTTAATATATCGCTTTACTAAGACTACACAGTTGTGCGATGAATATTTCATAAGCTCCAAGTGAGGTGATTTTATGAGTGCTGATTTAGGACGTGTTCTATTTTTGTGAAGAAGATAACGGTAAACGAATCTAGTTTAGTTGCTAAACATCCGTTGCTTAAAATATGTACAGTCAGCCAGTTGTAGAGGCAAGATTAAGTTAATGGTAGTTACTATCTTCCACAAAGTCTAAAACATAGAATTTTCCACGGAGTGACTTATTTTGGTAAATTTCAACATTTTGGTATGTTTAGGGCATCAAACTTCGGCTGAATCATGGGGTACAGGTCGTGCGGTAGCTAGAATTCCGCGTGTACGAGGTGGTGGTACGCATCGTTCTGGACAGGGTGCATTTGGTAACATGTGCCGTGGTGGACGTATGTTTGCACCGACTAAGGTTCGCTTCTGGTTTTTAATTTGTACTGTTGTGATTGGCAAAGCAACGCTCACTTCAAAGACTTCGATCTACATCCTTTGATTTTGTTTTATAGTATTTTGAATTTATTTTGTAATATTTTTCTGAACGGCTGTTTTTTAAAACTCGTGATTGATATGTAAACTGTTGGTAAATTAATTGTCAATTTTTAGGTATTCCGACGTTGGCATCGTCGTGTTAATGTTGCACAAAAACGTTATGCTATGGTTTCAGCAATAGCTGCTTCGGGTATTCCAGCTCTCGTGCAAGCTCGTGGACACATCATTGACCAAATACCTGAAGTCCCATTTGTTGTTGTTGATAAGGTGGAGAGCTTCAAGAAGACAAAAGAAGCTGTTTCATTTCTTCGTCGTTCACATTTTTGGGCTGATATCGAGAAAGTTAGTTTCCACATGAAGCTTTGGTTCAAGTAAGGAAAGAAGCTAATCATTGAAACTAACATTTCACCAACATAGAGAATTTGCAACAGAACATCATATGTTTTTTTTAGGTTTACAACTCGAAACGTAACCGTGCTGGTAAGGGGAAAGGACGCAACCGTCGCTACAAAGCTAAGTTGGGTCCTCTTGTTGTGTACAATCAGGATAATGGTGTTGTTAAAGCTTTTCGAAATATCCCTGGTGTTCATTTGCTTCCAGTTGACAAACTTAATTTGTTGAAAGTCGCACCTGGTGGCCATCTCGGACGTTTGATCATCTGGACGGAATCTGCGTTCCGTAAATTGAATCGTATCTACGGAACGGAAACTCGCAAAGCTGTTGCCAAGGCTAAGTTCGTCATGCCGACAGCAAAAATGGCGAATGCCGACTTCTCACGACTGATCCGGTCCGAAGAAATTGTGAAGGCCATTCGAGAGAAAAAGAAAAAGATATTTAAGGTCAGGGCTTCAAGGATGCATCGCAATCCATTGAAAAAATCGGCAATCATGGTCAAGTTGAATCCATATGCAGCAGTACTGAAACGTACCGCTATTTTGACCAATCGTAGACGGCTTGGAACGCAACATCCGTTTGAAGAAAAGATTCAGGTAATGGTTCTTTTTATTTCCAGTGACATCTATGTATCTGTTGGTATTCAAAACAACATCTGAATTAGATGGAATAACTCCATAGGGAATCATAAGCTTTAGCCTAAGTGGGAGTTTGGATTCCTGATTCTCTGAGGGACGCAGTAGAATGGTTAATCTGGAAGCAATAGTTCCTATTAGATGTACCCTTATTTGATTGACTATAAAAATTATGAAAAGAGTCTTTTATTATTCATTATATATTTCAGATTTCACGTCGGAAAGAGTTCGAGAAAAAGGCTGCTCGGAAGACGGCTGCTCAGAAAACACCGGCTCCAAAGTAAAGACGTATTTGGTTATTATCATTAATTTGTTATACATCGTTGGATAAATTTTCACGTAAATGTAGGGGAGTCAACAATTTATAGTAATATATTCATAATAAAATCATGGGAAATGCTGATTCAGGTAAAATGATATTGAATATTACAACTCTATGATAATCTAATTTGAAAGAAGAGCTATGGCGCTTATTAGAACTCAAGATAACGGTTTGCGGATAATTTCCGCTGATTGGTGAGTTCACAATATAGTACTATCCCAATACCAACAAAGATGCGAAGATTTGAGATTACAGAACTTGATTTGTCCCACGAGAGATCAGAAATAGTGGTAATAAAAAAACGAAGGAAACTTGAATCGCATACGACTTTGGAAGAACTCCATGTACACTGTGAGCATACAATTTCCTGGTAATTAGTAAAGCAACTGGCGAACATGACACATCTGTATGGATGTAGGGAATACATACAATACCTGATAAAACAGGAATGACAATGCCTCTAAAAAGCACGACAAATACGACTAATTAGTCTTGATAAGCTTCATTTTGAAAACCCGAAGAATGACAATCAAATGAGTGTTCACCGTTCGGCTTACTTCGTGCAAGTTCCATTTTGAAACTTCCAGCGAAAAAATCAGAGCTAAAAAAGGTCTGCTAAAGAAAGACGTGAGAGACTTGCCTTCAAAAAAAAAAGTCATTCTTAATATTTGCTGACAGTTCCTTCGTTATTTTAACTGTCGCAGAATACAGGGCGGAAATTCCCTAAGAAAAAAGGACGCACGAATAAGAGTCATTGGATGCATATGTCAAAGGCTGGTAATTTTTGAAAAACGCCCCAGCGGGTGACAATTTGGAAAAAAAGTGCAATCAGAATTCTCTAATTTTTTTCTCATCAAATAAAGGGGAAAACTCTTAGATTAATTCCCATCAGTACTAAAAGTCGTCAAACTTACGCCGAATTCTCCGTTAACTTGTGTACAGTATCCGTTGTCTTCCTGATATTCATGTCAATTCTTCTGAAGATGTCTTGTAGGCTTTCTTCGTTGATATTTTGCGATTTCTTAGATTCTTCATAGCACCGGTTTTTCTTCACACTTATAGGTCTATCCGATGCATGATTTTTCTCAAAAATTTCATCATAGATTGGTATCTCGATATATTCCTTGAGGTAGAGACTTTCATTCGACCAAAGACGATTCAATCGTTTTATTTCGCTCATCTACAATTAATGTTAATATTGCTTACAAAATAATACGTTCCACGCATTCTGATAGAAATACTAGTTCCTATCTCATCAAAAAGACTTAAATCATTAAGCTGCTTCATCTAAAATAAAGGAAAAGAAAGTCAGCCAAAGTTAAGAAACGCTAGATACCTCGCTTAAAAGATTTTCGAAGGAAAACACCTATTATACGTAGCTTATTCGAGATGACAAAAAATAAAGTTTTTCACTTCATTTTCTTCTAAATAATTTTCAAGAAAATATCATAATGTAAATAGCCCGAACATTGCTTGACCTTTCCTTTCATCTCAGTGACAAACAAATTCCTAAACAACAATGCACCGAAGTTATAGTCATTTCGCACAATTTCAACTGACCGAAAAATTATTTACAAGAAATAAATTTAATAAGAAATACATACTGAAGTGTTGTATTTCAGAACGAGTCCTTGAAGTGTATCATTCGGCTTAATCTGATGTTGAATGATTGTACGATAAGTTTTTGCGGAAATATGAATATTTGATAAACTGCCGTATCCGCGTGTTCGTTGATAACCACACAAAAATGTGCGTTCATCTTGACCTTCCATTCTTGTGCCACATAGTTAGTGCTTAACAATTTATAATAGCTAATTAAAACACAAAAATGCAAACAATATAATCCAAAACGCTCACATATAACAGTCAAAATTTACACTTAAATTTGCCATATTAACATAAAAAAAGTGTCGATCCGAAAAAATTTGCACAATGACTCGCGCACGAATTTAACTAACCATAAATGCATTGTTATAAAAATGCGCCCAACTATTTCCTAGCCGTCATAAATTAGGTTTCTTAGTTCGAAGATAGTGTTGAGTTGTTGGTAGGTAGACGGGAGAGGGTTGCTAGAGAGTATTGAAATGAGAGATACGAGGGGCAGTGGAAGAGAAGTATGCAATTTTTTGTCAGATGTTAAAATAAACAATTTGGTGTGTTGTACTTAGTGACACAAAGAACTGTAAGGTCAACTGGTATCTCTCGGGAATTCTAGTAGACGTAAGATCGATAAGGACAAAGTGTGTGCTATTCTCATAATAATGTCAAGTTTAGAGCTAACAGTTAGAGAGGAAATAATAGTGTGAGCTGTAGAAGGAAGTAAAAGATAGTGATGAAGAGATGAGGCAGTGGTTAGCCGCATTGCATTGATTTCTCTCATTGTCCTTTTCACTTTTGCTTTGTCATCGATTGCTTGGTTTTGTGTGGTTTGGATGCAAGGAAGGAAGTAGCCGTACAGAAATTTTGAGTTTTTTTTAAGGTAGAAATAGATGTGAACCGGAAAGAAGTCATTCCGGAAAGAATGAATCATTTGTTGTGTGTTTGACTCATTCGTTTTAATATTTTTTCCCCTAATGGTACGCAAAAAAAAATTCATACGTACTGTGTTACTATTTTTTGATGAATGTGTTACTGCTTAAGGTAAAAGATATATTTAGGAAGATGGCACCAAGAAAACGTTCTACATCGAAAACCAGTTCAAGTTCATCATCAACAGAACGGTATATTGATAATAAATCATCATTTGCATAGTTTAATAAAAAAATAAAAAATAAAAAATGGAAAATTCATTGTTTAATTCCAGATCACGTTCACGAAGTCGTACACGTTCAAAAACCCGAAGCCGCAGTAAAACTTATTCACCAGAACGTGGTGAGGAGGGACGTCTTCATGTGGCAAATATAGATGAGTCAGTACGTGCAAGAGATCTAGAGGAAGCATTTTCGTGAGATTTTTCTTCCCTTTAATATTTATAACATCTAGTAACATTTAAGGCAGTTTTAGTCTATGTGATTTTATCCTTATTTCATCCAATCTACTTTTTTGATTTTTATTTACAAACAACTGGTACCTTCTCATCACGTATTTTCTTCTGTTTTCAGACGTTTCGGAAAGCTCTCCGAAGTTTGGGTGGCGAGTTATCCACCACTTTTTGCATTTGTGGTATTTAAGAATAAGTCGGATGCAAATGAAGCGTTGGCAGCTCTGAATAACACGTAAGTCGCGATTTGTAATAATTTGTAAAAGAACAATTCTTGCTTTGGTTCATTAATGTCTTAGTTGTTTCCTAAAGAGGAGACTTAATGTTTAAGTGTTTTTTTTTAGAAAACTAAGTGTCGGATACCTCACTTTTATGCTTGTGCGTGGAATTGTACATCTGCAAGATGTATCATTGGAGTATACCATTCTCATCGGAAGAGCAATTTTCGAAATATTTTCTTTTTAGATACATTCGTAACTGCCGAGTACGCGTATCGGTAGCATTGCCTCGAGTTCGTGCACATGATCGCTATCGCTTTGGTGGTGGTTATGGGGGTGGTTATTACGGTGGTGGTGGTTATGGCAGGTAATTAGTGATATTCTTTATTTTACAGATTATAGTATGGACTGGAGGGGAGATTAAGGATGGAGAAAAAATGAATTTTTAGATATGGTGGTTATGGCAGCAGTCGATATGGTGACTATGGACGTTATGGCGGATATGGCCGAGATCGAGATAGACGGTGAGTGTTGCAGAATTTTTTTTAATCTGAATGAAGTAAGAAAACTACAAGAAGGTAGGGGAAGAAAGATGGCTTAGTAAAAGTTATTAAACCACATTTCCCTGAAATATTACCTTTCAGCACTCTAAGATGTCCATTTACTCCGGGATGGGCGGGATATACGAAGGGCTATCCATTAAATTAGTTTGATATAGGCCTGGATGATGGTAAACTTTGGTTGCTTTGTGTGTGATGGAATCATTATGGACAGTGTTGAAACTTTGGTGGTAATTGGTTTGTTGGCTCGGCTCCCTCCGTCGTCCATATTGTTTGGAATGGATGAGCCGAGCTGTGAATTGGTTTTGATGTTGATGGTCCATCATTTTGTGTTTTTGGCATCCTCTGGAATATTGTTGTTGGAAAATGGAGGAAGTGTATGGTGATGGGAATTCTGTAGTGCACGATTCGCAATTCTTTTGAAAATGGTTTTTATTCATTTTTCGGACATTGTGCAACAAATGTGCCACATCCATGTTTCAAACATCTGTAAAGGAGGTGCTCTCCTCTTCGCATCACCCACGAAACACATTTTTTCACGCTTTTATTTAGTTCTGTGATTACAGTTTGTCTCTTTTTTGTTTTACGAGGTGTAAAAATTGGGCCTTTCAACTCTTTAAGATGTCCATTTAAATGAGTTGTTCGTAAAAGATTGAATTTGGCTTCTTATGTCGTGGAATTTTACTCCAGGATGATAAGGAATTTTACAGTGTGCATCACTGTTTCGCTTAAATAATTCCAGCTTTTTGCAGGCGATCACCGCCACGACGAGAACGCGAACGCCGCAGAAGGTATGGTAACGCATATGTTTTTTTTTTTTTTTTTTTTTCCGCCTTTATGTAGGAAGACGCGGTATGGACGAGGAACAAGAGGCGGAAATTTATCATTCAAAAAAAAAAAAGCAAACCTGTAAGCATATTAAAAAAAATATTCTATTTTTGATCTTTGACTCTGAGATGCGTTTTACAGGTCCCGTACTCGCTCGCGATCACGTTCACGTTCTTCTTCATCCCACAGTCGTTAGAACATCAGTTCCACAGAGAAATCTGAAATTTTCGAGGTGATGAAATTGCTGCTGACACATATGTCTTAATATGTTTCTGTGTTTGATTTTTAACCTCATGTATCGTTTTTAATTTTTATTCGATTTCTACATCATATGCATAAATCAAACTTTTTAATTCCAGTCAATACGCAACATCATTCATCATATGTTTGAGGAATAATTTTCTATGAAGAACTAAATTAATATTTTTAGTATTTGCCAGTGTTTGGAGAGCTATATATAACACGGATGGGTTTGAGTGATATTTAGGCAGTTGCTAATATATTGGATAAAATGCTTTTGTGGAAGCTTTGATAATTTTAACTGTTAATATTTTTTTAAATAAGGGTAAGCCAGATTAATGCAAATATTTATGTAACAGTATTAATGCATACATTCACGCATTCTTGCGTGTAATGTTTGTCTTTCTTTACCTTATAATTAGTAGTTTCCAATTTGACAGCGTTAGGATTGTCATTTGTTATTGGATATAAAGTTGTTTCTAAAATAAATTATATCATCAAAGCATATAAGGTTGAAATTGCTTCTTCATTCTTATGATCACATAAGTTATTTTAGGTTTTTAAAATGGAACAAAAGTTTACTGGTAAAGTCTTGCTCGCTATTCTAAGATTATCTGTGTCGCAAGTGGAAGGTGGTTGGAGTAAACAGTACTGGAAATATAAGGTGTAGTTTCCTGATGCCTTGGGGTTGGAAAAAAAGAAAAGATGTCGTCAAAGATTGGAAATGATTTTTAGAATATAAAATGGGTAAAGAGAAAAGCAAGTGAAAGTTAACGGTCACAGATTAATGGTTGGTAATGGTGATTTGCAAGGAAGATGGGAAAAGGAATGAATATTCAAGGTGCAATGCTCATTATTAAACAACCAGAAGAACCATATGTAATCTATTTTTAGACTGGGGGTGTTCATTGTGTGTAATGTATATGCATAACAAATTATCGAAACGGAATGCTTACCAGCTACTTATCACGCAAAATTCTCTGTTATCTATGACTAAAATTGGTAGTTGTGGGAAACGAAAGTCAAATCATGACGATAAATTAGTTAGTAATGCTAACAGCTCTACAAGGGATATCCTTTGCAGCGAAGAGGAATGTCAGCAGTCAGAAGGTATGTCGTTTTTAAATTAAAAGTGAATTGTATCTTACTTTCAGTGGTGTTCTACCCGTTAGAATGGTATCATTACATGGTGCAAGGTAAGCAATACCTGAGGCGAAATGTCTGCATCATATTTAGAAAAAATTATAATGTTACATAACTTCATGGTCCACTCCTGGAGTTTCTGGACTTTTCGTTTTAGGAAATTGTGAAGTAGATAAAACCGACGATTATGACAAGTTGGAAGTAAACATCGAAACATTAATGCCAAAGCAGGTGAATGTTATGAATACTAATAAGTATAAATGAATGATTTCCAATCGATTGTATGTAAAAATTCGCTTTAATTCATGCTTACGAAAAACTTCTATATTCATGGAATGGTTTTCATATGTTTATATTTTTATTGAATTGCATTCACTTTCTTAATATATTGAAGCTTTGTCGGACACGTGGAATTAGTGGTAGCAGCAGTGAAAGCAGCAGTGAGAAGTTCAATAATACAAGAGCTGACGAAACTTCTGTTAGGTGTGTAGATTATGATTATTTATTAATTATAAGAGAATATACCTTTTGCTTTTTTCCTTCTTTCTACAAGTCTTCAGGTTTCAGATCTTTAAGAAAGTGGTCAAGAAAAAGTTGCATTAATGCTACAGAAGAAAAAGGTTTGTGTTGTTGTTTGCGACAGGATTCCTTGGAGGAGTTTACTAATTGTCTTCACTAACTGGTACATCCCGTTTTAGCTTGGGTGAGGTAATTTAATAGACCAATTTTGAATTTGTTCAACGAATTTAATTCCTTTGGTTCGGGTTCTTTGGTTTAATCACTCCATTTGCTACTTCCTTTTTGTTTTCAATCTTCTTGAATCATGTCATTTTTCTACATAACATTTATGAGCTATCTTGTACGATAACAAAGAATTTATGGTGAATTACGCGAGAGATTTCCATTGATTATGTAAATTCAAAAACTTTATTTATGCTGTTTTAAAATGACGTGAAATTTTTTATAGAAAAGAGCGAACAAAATGTGAAAGAATTGACGAGTCGTCAAAAGTTCTTAAAACTTTGTAATATCAAAAATCAAAGGTCTGCTAAATTTTCGTAATAGGAGTAGACATGCTTAATAAGAGCAATGTTTGTACCTTTTTTAAAATCTGTTAGTGCAGTTGATGCAACTCTGATATATTGAAATATGAAAGTGAAATGTAGGATTTTAGACAATAAAAGGATATTGATTAATATAGTCAGTAAGAAAACTGTTAATTATAATTTTACTTTGGCTTAAATAAACTGCATTCTTCTGCATTATTATTATTTTTTCTTTTAACTACTTTTAACTGTTTCTGTATATATTCTGTGTTGTTTAAATAGGTAAAAATGCCAGTCGTTATTTTTTCACCTACCACTAACCGAGTAAGATTGACATGTAATTATAAGCAGAGATATTATTGTAAGATTTATAAACGCATGAGATTATTACTCTGTAGTGGAATTAATTTTCATTCTGTTGATCTTTGAAAAGTAATGATAGTTAAATGAATTCGGCAAATATATTTCAACGAATACTTCGTATGATAAATTATGTTTGTATAGTTGAATACTTCATTTCTCATCATGTTTCGTAGTAAGATAATAGATTTCAGCGAAAACTCTGATCAGTTTGGCGTTATCTCGTTTGCTTATACCAGAATCAAGCCAATCAATTATAAGCACATGCAGGTTGGAATTGTTTTAATATACCTGCAAGATCTCACCTCTATTCGCTTATTTCTTAATGCATATTCTGTATTCTATCCGCTATATTTTGTTACTAATTTAGGAACTCAGTTTTCGTGATTTAATTTTAACAAGTGTGAACAGTGCTTCATATTCATCAGAGGACAATTCGCAGTTTCTTAAGTATTCCGATGGCGATAACAAGAGATCGGTAAGTTGGTAAATCGGTTTCACTTAAAGACGGTAATGTATTTTTTAAATGCTCTAGTTTTTTCAGCGCACAATGTATCCATGTGTTTCTGCACGATGGTATGCATCATCTTGTGGCAGGATTATAGGTATTAATAAGTATATTAAGGTCATATATGAATGTTTATATATTATACATTATTCCACTATTGTATAGTTTCATTTGTATTGTGTTACTTAAAGTAAGGTCACTTTTGGTATCGAAGCTTTTAGACAGAATAGAAGAAGGACCATCATTACTTCATTCAACAATATATGGTTCTGATAGCAATGCAAATTCAACCGAATATGATCCAAATCTTATAGCAAATTTTGATTGCCGCACTCGAAAAACTGTGATGAAGTTCAATGGATATGTGGTGAGTTTTTTATTTCTAAATAATGTTTTTTTTTTTTTTGATTTATGAATTTATCTGCTAATGTATGATATGAATGACTTATTTTCCATTCATAGAGTATAGTAACGCATTATCAGCCAGACAGTGAAGTGAAACGTTTAGTGAACGAAGCATTTCGGTCACGTTTTCCGCATGTTCACGTCTCCTTTAGCAAAATTAAAAGGTTTTCATTTTTCTATCTTTTTATTTTTATTCCTGAATACATTTTTTTCCCCCAGAATGTGTCTTTTCCCACTGACAATGATGATAATTAATAATACTACACACTGTTTATTTATTCTTGTCGATTTTCTTTCAATTTTATTTCAGTATTAAGCGAGAGCTTCACCAAATAGCTGTTGCATGTAATTTAGAAGATGCTACAACGGCTCATGCCTATGTTTTCTACGAGAAAGTACTCTTGAAGGTCTGTTTTAAAGAATTTAATAATGACCACTTTAAAATCTATCAAATTAACGATTCATTTCATGCTTAAGACTTATTCAGTTTAATGAAATCAAGTGACTGTCGGATATAGAAGACATTAAAACAACCATTACTTAAACGATCTTGCTTAAGTAGACTTCTTTTTGATTATTGATGTCTGAAAGATATTTGTTCGTAGGGATTAGTGTGTAAAATGAATCGGAAACTGGTAGCTGGAGCAGCTCTTCTTATTGCTGCAAAAATCACTGATTTTGGATCAACATGTATTTCTGACGTTGTAAACGTTAGTTTTGAAATAATTTTATTCATTCAAAACTCCCCTTTTAAATGCGTTTTCATAATTGATTTTAAATATTTCCTAAATTAAGTTGGACTCAGGTTTTCAGTATTTGGAATCATCATTACGAATCAGTCGCAAAGAACTCGTGCGATATGAGATACCACTGTGTGCAGCACTTAGTTTCAACTTGAGGGTACCTGTTTGGCAGCTTTTACCGCATTATCAAAGGATCGTCTTGACAATGTTATGATTTAAAAATGCTTGTTTCTGTATATATTGTTCAAATAAACCTCTACTCTTGCGACTGGTTATAGTTGCAGAATGCTTCATTGTTAATGGCGTCTAAATGACGCTTTATCAGATATTGGATTTATTCCAGGTTTTATTACAGAGAAGAAAAGCAAGACTCAAATTACAATTATGGTATTAGAAATTGTGTCATATAAGTCTGGATGATACAGGGTAATAAAAGGACGAACATTTTCAGAGTTACGGTAAATACATTTAAAACAAAAAATATAAATTAATATAATGAAATGGTAACAATCGAATATCGTTGATGCAATGAATGGTAATGATCATATATCAGCTAATTCTTCATTCAGATTTTATTGAACTCGTTTCACAGTATGAAAATGTGAAGTAATTTCGACCTGAGAAAGTTTAGTAAATACATGAAGTTTATCGTTAAATAATTTCCACAAATTTTTATACAGCAATATTTGTTGAAATACCAATCTGACGAGTCTCAGTTATCATTCCTTCTGGCCTTTCATTTTCACTCTTCTGTGAACTTTAAACTCAGTAATATTTATATTCTTAATGACTGCAATCACCATCAATAATTTCTCTGTTCTACCTCGATTTACAGTATTGGAAAAGCTTTTTTTTTCTTTAACATCTATTCCTTATTTAGAGGACATCACTAATATACTCAGATATCGTTAACATAAAATTTACCGGATTTTTGGACGGACAGGATCATAACTTCCCTCGTAACAAGATTGGATATGGAACCAACCGTAAGTACATAAATTTAGCTTTCTGTTCGTTTTTATCTTACAATCGCCTGCTACAGGCAGTTTTAACTAACACAATGGTCACACCGTCTTATAATTTACTAGTTTAAATTACGGAATCTGTATCAACAACTGATAATTTAATCCATTGAAAACTGTTATGTAGCTGTATAAAATTGATTCATTCTTTTATCCAATTATCTGTCACCGATTCAGCCTCATGTGAAAAACTACAGAGACTTATTTTATGCTCCATACAAACAAATTGAGGATTTATTAGTACATATTTCAAAAAAATAACAGAACGAATTTGAGTTTGTATGAGAGTTTTCTTCAAGAAACAAAAGAACAAAAGGCAGAAATTCTATTCTTTCTTCGGATTATCTTCGACCAGCCATTCCCGTACTTGCTGTCTTGTCGGTCATCGGAATACTCAGTTCCTGCAATCACCAGAATATTCGCATATACATTCTGTTTATACCTACCGTTTATTTACTCAAGAATATATTCCATTGCGACACTTATAATCATAGATCACCATCCCTCATGTAGAACTTTTCAACATAACTGTTAGCCTCGCGAAAACTAAACAAATATCTGCTTAATATGTTTCCGAATAACTTCAAAACTACTCATTACTTGATGCTTGATGAGACAGAATAACCCAATATTGTCTCTGAAGGCTATTTAATTAATCATGTGTAACATCAACTTGAGCGATAGTAGCAATCCCAAAATAAATGATACCATAGAAGGCCATAATTTAATAACAACCATTACATTCACCAACCATTGTAGTAATATGTTCACAAATGTAGGTAAACTAATTTTCTTTCTCATGCAAATAATTTATTTTCTATCTAATAACACAAGTAATTTAACTTTCTATCTACGAAAAGAAAGTAACAAAATCTAAGGAAAAAAGGTGAAAAAAAAAAACAAACCATTGACTCAATCATCTGCTTAGTTTCCGTATCTACTTCAATTGTGGTCAACATTCGCGGATCAACGACAGAAATATCCGGCATGTAGTTATCGCGACGCTCTCTTTCTTCCTCTTGTAATTTGATTGAAATACCACGAACCGGTCCCTTCTCGATACGTTTCATCAAGTGTGTTATATAACTGAAATAATTGTTTACAATTCCGGAACTCCAACCGACTTACATAACATAAATATTGGACAAAATATGATATAAATAACTGTCTTTCGTTCCTACGTCAATAGAAAAGATCTAACATCTTTCACCTTAAATGATAAGCAAAGTAACGCAAAATGGGGGACAATCTCATGAACGAACAGCTTCCCAAGTAGATAAAATCTTCCTATATAGAGAATCTGCTCCAAACTACTAGACTTTTCAATAGTGATCTCAGTAGCAGATTTGCCATGAAATTATTAAATGATTCTTTTAAATGTCGCCCCTGTTACTATGAAACTGAACATCTGCTCCAAAGTTCATTCTCACAAAGGCTAGACTTTGTCCATCGATATGAGCACTGTTAACAAAAGTTAAAGTAGAAATTTGAGTAAAACTGGCTCCAAATAATTCATCCGAACTCGTGCTTAGTCAGCAATTCAATTTCCACTCACCCCGCAATGCGGTTCCTCATTTTTTTGCTCGGAATAACTGCAATTTCCTCGCAAATTCGTTTGTTTGTATGGAAATCATGTGTCAGCTTAGTATAATATTTCTCAATAATTACACGTGAAGCTTTCTTCACGGTTTTTGTTCGTACACGTCCGCAAACCATTATTTTACGCGGCTCACGTCACTTTCTGCGCTGAAACATTTAAAATAATCTGAGTTTCAACTTCAAAAAAACTTCTTTGCAAAACAGTCAAAGATGGTGTAGCTTTTATCTGATGTAGCCTAGGAGTTTTACAGTGAACAAAAAGAGACCAAACCCATAGCTTTTACGACCTTAAGAAAAGCCGTGACCTCGGACCCCTAACCCTGGGTAACACCGGATAACTCTAGCAACCGCCCAACAATGACCCGAAGCTCCCTACCGGTTGGCGTCGTGCAATTATTTCATCCCAAGAACTTTACGAATATAATGGCCGCAGTTGGGTAAATGTGCACCACTCTGTGAAAATTGTATGTCTCACAAAACAGTTGATTTATGTGTTTTCCACTTTAAGGTATGGGTAAATCCCTTATAACATTTACAAACATTTTTTTCCCAAACGGATGCATGACGCTTTCAATTTTTCATTTGAAATGTTGTTAATTAATTTAGATGATTTATATGATTGAATTTATATAATTATATAATTTGGAATGCGATAATTTAGGAAAGCGTTTTATTCTCTTTTCTTCTTTGGACTTTTTTTTTGTAATAGACGTAGACGAAAAAATTTTGACCATTGATTTGATTTCTTGTTGATGACATCTGTTACGACTAAACAAAACTATGATGGATTATCAGGAAGAAAGCAGAAGCTATGAATCCTTCGATTGATGCATTATCATTTTCATCTTGGAATTCTGTTTAGTAGAATTTCTCATTTTCTTCCTCCTGATTGAATGAATGAGAATTTCTATCACTTATTTCTAACTTATTGTGTTTTCAGAGGAAATATCGATGAAAAAGGTAAAATGACACGTAAATGTTACTACTGCAAGGCGGGAATGCCCGAAATAACGTACGTTGTCTTTCATAAACAGTCCGTTGCTAATTTTGAGATGATTTACAATCTATTTTTTTCTTTTTCTTTTGAATTTTTGATTACTAAATTTTTATTATAATGCTATTTCGAATACGATTTTTAGTGCAGGTAGTGAAAATGACTCGCAGTGTGAAAAGTGTAAGAAGAATGAAGAGAAATATAAAACAAAGGTTAGTCACATGTTTTTATGGTGTCCTTTTTCTGTTTCTTTGACTGGATGGTTTCTTTGAAATTTTCATTAATTAATGTTTCAGTCCTTCAATAACTTAAGCTTGCCAAAGTAGTATGTTAATAGTAATAATAATTGCTCAATTTATTTCAGCCAACGATATGTATGTATTGCCAGCTACAAGCTGCTTTCGTTGCTAACAAATGTGTTTGGTGTTGCCATGCTGAGAGGAAGTATGGTTTACCGGTGCAATGTTCTCAGTGCCTTCAGAAATCAGCCTTTGTTCGAGAACCTTCACAAAAGGTTCGTGACGATTGACGATTTCTGATTTGTCCATTTTTTTTTTGTAGTGGCTGTTAATGAATTATTTTAATGCGAGATAATGCTTTATTAAGAATGCTATTTAATTCTTTCCCAATCAGAACATTTAATGAATTATAGGACAAACCGCTATATTGTCGTTTATGTACAATGTCTAGAAAGGCGATGTTTGGAGAAGCTTCAACATATAGCAATATGCCAAAGTCAAAAAGTAACAGTCATTCAAAGCGAAAAAGACTGAGCTCTTCTGAAAACAGAGGAGGAAAAGTATCAAAAGTAGGAAACTTTTTGCACTATTTTTTGTTATTTAATAATTTGTGATCACTTCCTTTGAAGTAGATATAAAAGGTTTGGAGCGAGCAATTTTTATGTGTTCTAACAATTTAAATAATTTGTTTTACATAATCTTAATGTCAGCAACAATTCCTATCTCGTTTGAATGTAATTGTCATTTGATGAGATTTTTTTAGCGAAATGCTATGACAGAAACAGCGCTAGATAATGCTCATTCGGAACACATCTTTGTCATTCAACAATATAAGGACGAAATTTTAGAGTTGCAGAAGAAATGCTTTGAAAAAGACAGAATTATACTGGAAAGAGATAAGAAGGTTATCTTCCTTTCTATCTTCCTTTTACACTGAAAAAATCAAAGCGAAAAAGATTGAGCTCTTCTGAAAACAGAGGAGGAAAAGTAAAAAAAATCGGGAAACGAAAAGAATGTGTATCATTTGTTTAATCAGAGGTTTTTATCATAATCAGCAAACAGTTATCACTTATTTCATGGTTCATGATTATCAGGCATTAGAGACCTATTTAGAAAGGCTGATACTCTATAGGTGTGTCTGAATGCAGTTGCAATATACATGGAAAATAATACCTCAATAATCACTTCTATAGTCTCATCGTTTAATTTGTGATGATACTCTATAATAGATATAGTTTGTTTTTGTATTAATCAATTTTTGCAGATTGCGGAATTGAATGCTGAAATAATAATGCAAGAGCAACAAGGACGAATGAAAATAAACATGATGCAAAAGCAACACGCCGAATCGTTGCAATCACTTCATGATCAGATACGAACTTTAAACAAACAAGTAATGTTGAAAATATTTCAATAACATTTGACAGATTTGACGTCATTTTCCTGGACTAAAATTTTACTAACATTAAATTAAGATTGTTTGATTGCTTTATGTAAAGTAATAAAATCCAGTAATGTAGACTGTTTTTTTTTTTTTTGCCATTTCAGTTTTACATTTTCATTTTCAAATTTTAGGTGCGGCAGTTGCAAAAAGGATTTTAACCGAGTATCCGGTTTGTGTGATCTCTTTTCTATCCTTTCTTGTAGTGTAAGCACTTTTCTATCATCAAAAATGGTACTTTTGATACAGAAACATATCAGTACTAATTAACAATTTGGAATATATTAGAATATATTAAGCCAAAGATCTTGTATTAGATTGGTGATATTCGTATGTTTCTTACATATCCCTTATGTTTCTTGCATCATCCTATCTATCTGGAATTCCAATTCTTTTTTTTTTAGTAGAAAATTAAAACAGCATAATCACATTTTAGTGGTGATTTCTCTCTGCAAATGTACTTGCTATCTTTGGTAGGTAAGATTCAGGAAAAGACTACTGCTTTCTAAGAAACGGTAATTTGTGAGAGGACTTTTGTTTATTTTCTCTAAATGAGTAGTTTTTTTTTTTTGGTAGTATTTAATTACCTTTGATATTTAAGTTCTGTTACAATAGAACGATTTCATAGTTTGTTCATTTCTATGTTATGCATATTTTAGCTATCATTTTATTTCTTTTTGTTCGTTTTTGGCTTGACGACAAAGTTCTTTTTCCTTGTTTGCGCAGACGAATAGCTTAGAGTAGATGAAGATTCATTGCTAATAACTGTTACAAAATAATTACCAAAGAATATTGAGAATAAAGTTAATCATAGATTGCACTTCTTTTCCTAGTTCATAGGAATATTTGGGTAGAATTTAGTTGTGATGATCATTTTGTAAGCATTTGATTAAAATGGACTGTTCTTAGGAGTTGAGAGAAAGAAAGAGAGGGAGGGAGAGGAAATAATTAACACCTACAATGTGGGAATTATATTCTTTCCTTGTGTACAGTGACAAATAAAATGGAAGATTTTTAGGACATAAATTAGATTAGAAGATGTTTTAGAAGAATATTCAAAAACATTACAAATAAGATTGGAAGATAGATGAATAGTAATTATTTAAATATTTACAATAAAAATTTGTTTTATTCATTTCGAAATATTTCTACAATATAAAATCTATTATTCCAACTTTTTCGCTGATGATTCTATGTTTGAATTTCATATAATATGTGTCTTTTTAGTTTCTGGAAAATATCTTCATGCTATTTATGGTTTAGAAAATCGTTTTGAGAATAAATCAATTTAGAATTTTGATGCTAATAAACGTGCTGAAAACGAAATGTGATTGATAGTTTGTACATTGTAATTTAATTTTATCATTTAAATAATTTCATCTAAAAAAAGTATCATTCGTTTTCAATGTGAAATTTTTTCTCAATTTATTAGTGCATGTATAATAATCCGCAATAATAAATGCAGGGTGATTCTTTTCATGTAATAATTTAATATATAATTTATATTGCTGTTATTTTCATAAATTTGGAATTTTGATGAATCAGGTATTGCATAAACATTTCGACACAACTCAGGTATGTTCATGAAGTTTTTTCTTCGAAAATTCTGGAACTGGAAAATTGATTAAAATTTAAGAATTGTGTTGATTTTGTCATATTTCAATGATTAGATGACCAGATCCTAATTTAAGTAAGCAAAAAACTATCATATATGCGGTTCGGAAAAAAGTTTATGATACAATTTCATCATTATAACTTACAGTTTTCTCTTTTCACTTACCTGTGTGGTCTATTTTGTTGTCAATATTAGTAATCGTCATAATAGTAAGAGTTTAAGTAATGATAAATGATTAGTACTTCTTGTCCTTACCTGTATATACCTTATATAACTGTTTTAATAAAGACTTTTTTAATAATTTTTAATAAATCCATAATGCAATATTAATAATTTAATATTTCTTTGTTATTAGAGCTTAGTGAAACTAAAAAAGAAAGGTGAAACCATAAAAGAAATTTATTAAAAATTATAAAAAGAAAAAAAAATAGATTAATCTGAAAATTTCAAGATGAAATGAATAAAATCGAATTTATTGAATTACCTTAAAATTTTGCAATTATTATTCCTAATAACATGATATCATCAAACATCAATATTATTGAGAATGAAAAACAATCATAAATATTGAGGAGATAGAAGTTTATCACTTTTTTAAAATTTAACTTATAAAGCTTCATATTACTTATGCTATCAATATTGTTAAATGAAAGATTATATTTCTTTAAAACCTGAAATTATGATTTGAAATGAAATATTTCGACAATTGATTGCTAATCAAAGATGAAGTTTGAAAACTAAAATAGTATATATTAGATGGATGGATGGAATCTTTGCTAATATTTTGATATGAAATTCTAGTAGAATTGATTTAAATGAAAAATATTTGGAATAAATAATCAATTTTTTATTGCAAAATTTTGAAAAATTTTTTCTTTTGTTTGTTTGTTTTCTTTTTTTTTCTCAAAAAAAATTTTAATATGTGTCATAATTTGAAATCATACATACTTGTAAATAACTAATGTAAACATATGAATATGAAAATTGATTTGGAAATAATATGAATAGCAGAAAATTGCTTACATATTGATTTTACATTTAATATCTTAATGAAAGCATAGGTACGGTTACCATAGCAATTTTATTTTACAACTTGGAAAGGTTGAAAAATGAGAATTATGGATTAGTATGTGTTTATTGTAATTTTAATTAAAATGCCGTTTGCACCAATAAAGGATGGCGAATTTACGAGTACAATTTATGGAATGGTTTGTTTTTAATAATTTAAAAAAAAAAATAATAATAAAATGAATAAATAATTAAATGATTATAATTTTTAACATTTTAAGTACTAACTTTTTACTAATTCAAATAAATGTGAAAATTTTTAAAATAAAACAATTTCGAATAATTTTTATGCAATTATACTAAATTTGTAATTTAAAATAAATCGTTTGTTTACGTTAATTATTACCACAATTTCATTGATAAGTACTAAAATTAGATAAAATGATTCATTAATTATTAAATTTTTTTTTAGTAATTAACTGATTGTTAACATTTAAATAGTTTGAATGATAAATTTTTCATTAATTTTTTATATCTTTACTTTTTTTTTTTGTTTTTTGAAATAAGTCAAAGGTGAAAAAAAAAAGATAGATGAAAGTGATACGTGCTACGTGCTACGTGAACTACGTAATATGTTAATTTCGTTTATTGAATAAATAAGCAAATAAAAATTTATTGCATGTTGATGATTTATGTTAGAAATAATTAAAAATTATTGAAAACTGTGTGTTAAAAATTTGTAAATTAAAAATCAACAAATGATTATATAGCACTAAACTTATGAAATTGAAAGTTTTTATGTAAATAAAAATAAAATTTACTTCTAAAATTAATTTCATTACAATCATCGAAGTTATTTTTTTAAGAAAAATACATAGAAATGAATGATGGATGTTATTAATTGTAAAATAATGAAATGAGTTTTAACATTTTTAATCGAAAAAAACAATTTTCACTGAAAGTAATGAATATAAAAATATTATTTAGTGTAGGAATTAATAAGAGATAAATATGCTAATGAAATAAAAATAATAATTAATAATTAAAATTAATTAATGTATTATATTAATTTGTAGATTAAAGAACGTCGATATGAAAATGCAATTCGATCATTGCAGTATGAATTGCAACGAACGCCAAATGTAATTTTTAACAAATTTCAAATGAGAATAATTTTTTTTTTTTTTTTTATCACAATGTAAAATTAAGTGCAAAAAACATATTTTCTATGTAAAAATTTGTTTTCAGTCAATTTGTAGTGAACAGAATGAATTATATATGATTTGTAAACAAATGATCAAATGATGTAAACAAATTTATTAAGTGCTATTTAATAAAAACCTTTTTCAAAGAGAATAGTTATCAAAGAGAGAGAGAGAGAGAGGTTATAATTTGTTTTTTTTTTTGATTTTAATTGCAAAAAAAAAAGGAAAAATAGGAAATGAATGTTAGATATTTGCAATTATATTTTTCATTAAAAGAAACAAATAAAATGAAAAAGAATAAATTATAAAATTTTGCATTAATTAAATTTTTAAAATAACCAAAATTTGTATGTTTAGAGTAGAGCAGCATTATCATTACTTGGCTATTGCTATTTCTATTTACAACAATTTATTGAAGCAGCAGAATGCTATGAGCAACTTGTCCGGTTACATTCATCTTATCCGGAATATAGACTTTATTGGGCTCAATCACTCTACAATGCTTTTTTGTTTCCGGAAGCTAGTGCTGTTATTTCACAAGTAAATTTAATTTTTCGAAAATTATTAATTCAATTTTAATATTTTTATTTAAAAATTAAAAAGTTGAATTATTTTTTTTAAAAAAAAAAAAAATAAAAAATGAAAATATATGAGATAATTTTTAAGATTGATGAGCCACAATTTGCTCAACAAGTGTTAAAATTAGAATCAGCAATTAAATATCGTGAGGAAGATATAATAAATGCTCGAATACTTGTTGAAAAATATGCAATGGATGATCCAGATGGTGATATCAATTTAGCATGTCTTGAATATAAGGTTAGTCAGTACTCTGAATATAAGGTTAATCAGTACTCTGAATATAAGGTTAATCAGTACTCTGAATATAAGGTTAATCAGTACTCTGAATATAAGGTTAATCAGTACTCTGAATATAAGGTTAATCAGTACTCTGAATATAAGGTTATCAGTACTCTAATCAGTATATAAGGTTTCAGTACTCTGAATATAAGGTTATCAGTCTGAATATAAGGTTAATCAGTACTCTGAATATAAGGTTAATCATCAGTTAATCTCTGAATATAAGGTTAATCAGTACTCTGAATATAAAGTTAATCAGTACTCTGAATATAAGGTTAATCAGTACTCTGAATATAAGGTTAATCAGTACTCTGAATATAAGGTTAATCAGTACTCTGAATATAAGGTTAATCAGTACTCTGAATATAAGGTTAATCAGTACTCTGAATATAAGGTTAATCAGTACTCTGAATATAAGGTTAATCAGTACTCTGAATATAAGGTTAATCAGTACTCTGAATATAAGGTTAATCAGTACTCTGAATATAAGGTTAATCAGTACTCTGAATATAAGGTAATCTCTGAATATAAGGTTAATCAGTACTCTGAATATAAGGTTAATCAGTACTCTGAATATAAGGTTAATCAGTACTCTGAATATAAGGTTAATCAGTACTCTGTAAGTATAAGGTTAATCAGTACTCTCTGAATATAAGGTTAATCAGTACTCTGAATATAAGGTTAATCAGTACTCTGAATATAAGGTTAATCAGTACTCTGAATATAAGGTTAATCAGTACTCTGAATATAAGGTTAATCAGTACTCTGAATATAAGGTTAATCAGTACTCTGAATATAAGGTTAATCAGTACTCTGAATATAAGGTTAATCAGTACTCTGAATATAAGGTTAATCAGTAAATATAATTAATCAAAGTATAAGGTTAATCAGTACTCTGAATATAAGGTTAATCAGTACTCTGAATATAAGGTTAATCAGTACTCTCAACTCAGTACTTAATCAGGAATATAAGGTTAATCAGTACTCTGAATATAAGGTTAATCAGTACTCTGAATATAAGGTTAATCAGTACTCAATCAGGAATATAAGGTTAATCAGTCAATCAGCAATCAGCTCAGTCAGTACTCCAGTACTCAATCAAAGGTTAATCAGTACTCTTACTCAGTACTCTCAGCTGAATATAAGGTTAATCAGTACTCTGAATATAAGGTTTTAATCAGTACTCTTACTCATTACTCTGAATATAATAATCAGGAATATAAGGTTAATCAGGCATATTTCAGTTATATTTTCCACTTGAACGTTTTTGATTCATGGAATCATTTTGTTATCATTTTTCAGCCATGTTTAGCTTATTCAATAGCATTATGCCATTATCAAATGCATAATTATTCACAGGCATTAAAATTTATTGCTGATATTATTGATCAAGGTGTGCAAAATCATCCAGGTAAATTTTTTTCATCAAATAAAAAGAAAACTTTTTTTAAAAAAAAAGAAAGAAAAGATTTATTCTTAATTAGTAAAAATTTCAAAAATTTTAATCAATAACTTGTAATTTATAATTGAATTAAAAGAAAAAAGAAAAAGTGAATTGAGCAGAATTATCAATTGGTATGGCAACGGAAGGTATGGAAGTGAGTTCAGTTGGTAATACACGTCTTTTACGTGAAACATCATTGGTTGAAGCGTGTAATTTAAAAGCAGCAATTGAATATAACCTAAAAAATTGTAAATTTTATTTCTTTATTTGTTAAAATTGTTAAATTCTTTAGTACCAAAAATTATATCAAAATTTTTGCATTTTAATGATTTAAAGAAAATTAAAAATTATTTGTTAAATTATAGCAATAATTATGGTTTATTTAATTTTTCAAATAATTTGAATATTTTTATAGTATCAGCAGCTTCTGAAGCATTAACAGATATGCCACCAAGACTGGAAGAGGAACTTGATCCGGTCACTTTACATAATCAAGCTTTAATTAATATGGATAGTAATCCATCTGATGGTAAATCTTTTAGTTTCATTGTCATTTTAAAATGTCAATTATTTCATTTCATTTGTAAATTTTTGCTATTATTTCATAAATTTTATGTTTTAATTTCATGCTAAATAAAAATTTTCCCAACAAACAAATTATTTTATAATTAATTTACTTTTAGGTTTTGCAAAATTACAGTATCTTTTGAGTCAAAATCCATTTCCACCGGAGACATTCAGTAATTTACTTCTTCTCTACTGCAAATATGAGGTATGGTAGTAAAATTTCTCGATTAAATAAAATTTTAAAAGTAAACATTTATTGATATCAATTATTGTTATATAATTACAAATCAAAACTGATTAATCATTTTCAGTATTACGATTTAGCAGCTGATGTATTGGCTGAAAATGCTCATTTGACGTATAAATATCTTACGCAAGTAATTTTATTAATCATCAAAAATTTCATTTTTTTTTTTTTCAATTTTCCAAATCATTATTATCATTATTATCATTGTATAATCATCATTTTCTAGAATTTATATGATTATTTTAATTTCCAGTTTTTGCTCAAAAATAATTGTTTACATTTTTTAGTATTTGTATGATTATATTGATGCGCTAATTACCCAACAGACAGCGCCAATGGATGCATACAACAAATTTGAAGCAATTAGTAACGAACAAATTAATGAATTGCGTAGATTGACGAAACGTATGAATGTACGATTTTCATTCTTTACAAAAAAAAAAAAATTGATAAAAGATAGTATATTAATATAATTATTCTTATAATATTCATTTATTATTTAAAGAAAAAAAAAATTTAAATAAATCAAATTTTAATTTTTAATTATAATTGAAATATTCTGGCCTAATATATCTTAACTTTATAATAGGTTCGAAATTTTGCATCTTATTATATTTTATTTGAAATAAAGAAACAAATGAAATTTTATTTCTGAAACAATTTGCTCTTTATTTTATTCATTTAATCAGCAACAGTAATTTATAAAATCATTCAGGAAATTCGTGATGGAAATGATGAATTGATTATTCAAAAAACTGCTAAAGCATATGATGATACAATGGCTAGGTGAATTTTCAATGTAAATCCATAATAAAACCGGATTACCGGAATTATTCAATTTAATGAACAGTACTTGTTTTTCGGACATATGAGTAAGACTAAAAATATGAGATATTCTGAAGGAAGTTTTTGATACAAATCATCGAAGTGATCGATTAATTTGATTTAAATTCTTTTTGTTTTTCAAATTTTTAGCTTTTTTAAATATTTATTATACTGCAAAGTGATTATTTTTGACATTTATATTTGCAGTATTCTACTGAAATTAAATATTATTAATTGAATTGTATATGAAATTATAAAATATAATAATACGAATCATTTTGAATTCTTATTTAGCTTACAATAATTTCATTTACAGATGGATTTATAAGGTGGAAAAGAAAAAAGAATTTTCATTAAATTTTAAATTCCAATTTTTTATTTCCTTCTTTGCATTCGTAATTGAATTTAAATTAAATTCAGATATATGCCAGTGTTAATGTCGCAAGCTAAAATTTACTGGGATATGAATAATTACTCGCAAGTGGAAAAAATTTTTCGAAAATCAGTGGAATTTTGCAGTGAAAATGATATATGGAAATTAAATGTTGCCCATACTTTATTCATGCAGGTATCAAGTATTGGCCAGAACTGCTTTACTATCATTATTTAGCCAAGATTGCTTTATTATCATTATTAAGCCAAAGATTGCTTTATTATCATTATTAAGCCAAGATTGCTTTATTATCATTATGAAGCCAAGATTGCTTTATTATCATTATGAAGCCAAGATTGCTTTATTATCATTATGAAGCCAAGATTGCTTTATTATCATTATTAAGCCAATATTGCTTCATTATCATTATTAAGCCAAGCTTCATTATCATTATTAAGCCAAGATTGCTTCATTATCATTATTAAGCCAAGATTGCTTTATTATCATTATTAAGCCAAGATTGCTTTATTATCATTATTAAGCCAAGATTGCTTCATTATCATTATTAAGCCAAGATTGCTTTATTATCATTATTAAGCCAAGATTGCTTTATTATCATTATTAAGCCAAGATTGATTAAGATTAAGCCAAGATTGCTTCATTATCATTATTAAGCCAAGATTGCTTTATTATCATTATTAAGCCAAGATTGCTTTATTATCATTATTAAGCCAAGATTGCTTTATTATCATCATTAAGCCAAGATTGCTTTATTATCATTATTAAGCCAAGATTGCTTTATTATCATTATGAAGCCAAGATTGCTTTATAACACTATTTAATCAAGATTGTTTATTGCTTGGCACTAATACTTTAATATTTATTTTGTTGAATGATTTTAGCATTATTAAATCATTATTAAGCCAAATTGCTTTATTATCATTTTTGCTTTTTTTTTAATTTGTTTAGGCAATTTTGTTAAATTTAAGGAAGCAATAAATTTAAGGAAGCAGCGGGATTTTATGAGCCAAATGTTAAAAAGAATTTTGACAATGTATGTTTTATTCATTAATATTTGATTTGAATCAAAACTCAAATAGTTATTAATGATTCATTTGATATACAAATGATTCATCCATTTCAAATTTTCAGATGCTTAGTATAACAGCGATAATTTTGGCAAATCTTAGTGTCTGTTACATTATGACTAATCAAAATGAAGAGGTTAATTTAAATTTCATAAATTATTTGTTTCTTTTTTTTTTTTTTTAAAAAAAGTTAAATTTCATTTTTAAGTTGAATTTTATAATTGAAAAGAAAAAGAAAAAACAGAATGAAGTAAAAGTCTTAAATAATTTTTATTTTATTAAAGGCTGAAGAATTGATGAAAAAAGTTGAAAATGAAGAAGAAGAAGCAAGTGCAGCAAATTTAAATAAAACAAAATTCTTCCATTTATGTATTATAAATCTTGTTATTGGTACACTTTATTGTTCAAAAGTATGTTTTATTGATTAATTTTAAAAAGTTAAACTTAAAAAAAAAAAAAGAGAGAGAAGTACTTTTATTAAATAAAATATATTTTAGGGTAATTATGAATTTGGTATTTCACGAGTAATTAAAGCAATGGAACCATATGATAAGAAACTTGGCACTGATACATGGTTTTACTGTAAACGTTGTATGATTTCATTAATTGAGAATTTAGCAAAACATATTATTAGCATAAGAGATTCAGTGTTACAAGAATGTCTTCAATTTCTTGAACAATGTGAAAGTTAGTTTTTTGACAAAATTTCATTTCATTTTTAAAATTGCAAAAAAAAAGGAAAAAAAAATGAAATGAAATAATGAATTCACTGCAATATCAATTAATTTTTTAAAAAAAAATTAAATTTAAAAGATTTAAATTACCAATCATTTCTAATATTAATTTTGTTTAATTTTTTTTTTTTTTTTGTAATAAATGAACATATTTTTAAAAAAAAATTTTTTTTAATTTTTAAATTTTAATTAAATTCTGCTAAACAACAAAATGTATAAATAATATTTAATCAAAATAATTTTATAAATAATTTCATTTATTTTAGTTTATGGAAAAGATATACCAACAATAGTAGCTGATGCATTAACACTTAATGAATTGGAAAATGAAAATGCAAAAAATACAGTAACTTATGAAGCTCGATTATTACGAGCATTGTTATTAGAAGTAATAAATAATTGAAATAAATGCAAAAAAAAAATTAATTAATTAAATTGATTTTTTAAAATTGATGTATAACTTAACTTAAATTAAATTAAATTAAATTGATGTTTTAAAATTGATGTATAACTTAAATTAAATTAAATTAAATTGATGTTTTAAAATTGATGTATAACTTAAATTAAATTAAATTAAATTGATGTTTTAAAATTGATGTATAAGAAATGTATAAATTTTGTTTTTTTGATGTTAATTAATAATGAAATGTTAATAAATGAGTAAAAAAAAAAAAAAAAAAAAAGTTCAAACATTTTCATCTTTACCGCTTTTTCTTTCTTTTTTTCTCTCACACATTTTCATTTCTTACCTTTTCTTACCTAATTAAAAATAAATAAATAAATAAATGAAATGAAATGAAATGAATTTAGCGACAATAATAATTCATTTCTCACACTTTCATTCATTTTCTTTTATCACTATTACATTCCATTTGAAATTATTCCAATTTCGATTAATAATTAAATATATTCGATTTAAGAATATTTGAATCAGAAATGATTAAAATTTCACTTTTTTTTCCCCATAAATAACTTATTAACACTTCAACTAAAGCTATAATTGATGCAATTAACGATAAAAGACGTGAAACAATGACGTAATCTCAACGTATGACGTAGTATTACGTAACCATATTAATTCCCACAATTCAAATTACCGCCTTGTGGCAGTATGCCAAGCGATTCACGTGCATTTGCAAATGTCTAGACGACGATCTTCTGGAATTCGCGTGGGAGGGTCACTGATAGGCGGGCGGGCGGGCAGGCAGGCGAGCGGGCAGGCGGGCGGGCAAGCGGATGGCTGGGTAAATGGGAGTGATGAGACAACGAATGGTTACGTGTCTTTGCGTTCGTTTTATGCGCTAAAGCTCAAATTTTTTCTCTTTTACTATTAGTTGCTAATTTCGTACATTTTGTGCCATTTATTTGAAGTATACTTAATGTAACTTATTGTAATATTTGTATTTATATCGATGTCAATTTTATCATCGATATGTGTCTTTGCAGACAAATGTTATTTCAGTATTATTTGTATATATGCCATGGAAATTTTAAACTTATCTCTGTGCATACACACACACACACACACACACACACACACACACACACACACACACACACACACACACACACACACACACACACACACACACACACACACACACACACACACACACACACGCACACGCACGTGATTTTCATATTAACATCAGAGGCATAATTTTAGTTTGTAATATTATTAAATTAATATATTCACTCGTGTTCAGTGATTTTTTTTCTTCCTTTACTTTTCTTTTTTCAGGCGCTAATGGATAAAGATTTTAAATCAGGTACCGTTGTTTGGGCTAAAATGAAAGGGTTTCCACCATGGCCAGCAATGGTAAGTTTCCGCATTCGGATTAATAATATTTAATTAATTTTGTCCGAAACCTTAAATCAATAATATTTGATTAATTTTATCCCAAAACACCATTGTTTTAGTGATTGCTTTAAGACGGTAGGGATTAGTTAGTCGTAAACGAGTGTTTGTTACAGATAATGCAATCGTCGGAGAAAATGGAAGGTATACCCGCTGGTCGTTACTCAGTACTGTTTTATGGTACACATGAAACAGCAATAATGAAAAAGAGTGATTTGTTTGACTATTATACGTATCGTAATGAATATGAAGTACAGCGAAAGATTAAGGTAATTCTTCAGATTTATGCTTTTTTTGATTTATATGTCTGTAATTGTTCAACCTAGAACTTTCTTTTTTTTTTTAAAAAAAAGAAGTTTGTGTCATTAATGGTGTTATTTCCAAGGGTTTTACTGAAGCTTTGCAAGAAGCACGTGAAGCTGCTAGTTGCATGGAACCCAGTTTGACAGCATCAAAAACTGAATTGTGTTTATCAGGTGTTGTCGAAAAATCATCTCCAGGATCATGTAACGCTAATTTTTTATCAGGTTTCGCATCTTTTTTTTTTTTTTGTTTGACAATAGATTTCTATTTAAAATTTCAATTTGTTATCTTTTGTTATATGCAGTGTTAATAGATGTCTTAATTTGTCGACATTTGAGAACATTTGGATCTGTGTCGCAAAACTTTAGCGGAGAGCCATGCTTGGACTATGTTTGAGACGCTTTAAAACGTGGTAGTTCTGCAAAGATAGGATGATAATTTTAATTGTTAGAGAGTGAAGAATCTAGAATTTTTTTAGGAGATAGAGTTATTAGCAGGAACAGATCTCGAAGAAAATCGAGTCGATCTGATACCAGTGATAGTTTATTGGAAAACCTTTTATCAAGTCCAACCACATCTTCACCTCTTCCAACCAGAATGCGAACGCCGTCTCTTTCACCAAGTATTTTTCTGTAGATGGCATTTATAAAGCACTGAGATCAATTACACTCTGAACTATTGAATTATATTAGAAAACTACAGTAATGACTTATTTCTTTTCAGTTAAAGATAACACCGAAATAAGAAGTGAACGGAGGCGTCTGGGAAGCTTCACGTCTATCTCAAGTCGTAATAAAACAAATTCATTTTCGCAATCATTTGATGTAGATTTGGGCGAAGTAAATTTTTTCCTCTTCCTTAATAAATCACATGTTCTAGAATATTAAATTAATTTGAAACAAGGATGAATTAAATTTCATCTTCATTATTGTTTGGTAATATTTCCTTTCTAGGATCCTATGCTACCGATTTTAAGTGAAGGTACTTGTAATTTCCTATTGGATGGAATTGGTACAGACATTGATGAAATTTCAAGACCATCAATGAAAAGTAACCTCAAATGTCCCAAATCTGTTATTGGTGATTTATCATCTGAAAAGCTACGTGAACGCTTCAACAGTTTATCTTCAGGGCGTACAAGGTTCATTTAAATCAATCCATGATGCTGTCATATTCATGATAGCATTTTTTTGAATTTAAGCGTTCATTTTTCTAATATCGCACTTTTTTATGTGCTTTGTATTTCTTATGAAAATTTAGTTTGCAAGGATCATATATTTCATTCTTATAGTTCTTGTTTCTTTTCTTTCATTCACTGTGAAATTTTTTTCGGATTTTTCAGATTGTGTTCGGGTATGTCAGACGGTTTCGATGATTTGTTTGGTTCTTCGCCACTCTTCAGCCCTACAGATCCACTATCGTCATTGTCATTTAATGATATTATGGGCGCATCTGATGATCGTCCGTTAGCAGGTTTTGATGAGCAGAATTTCGACTTTCATCACCAAAATTCTCTCCAGAAAAATTGCTCAAGTTGTGGTTACTATTGCGTCCTGTATGGTATTAAATGGAGGTTTGTGCATTTACTCAAAAATCCTACAAACTAAAAGTTCAGAGCTGTGATAGTCAACTAATTCTCTAGGTGTGCAAATGTGAATTGCCTGAAATGGAACGAAGTTCATGAACCATCAATTTCTGAAATAAATAACCAGTTACCTAGTTTTGTGGTAAGTGCCTTTTTTTATTCTGTCAAGTTTCCTAAAATTAAAAAATTTTCAATCTTCATATAAATCTTAATGCATGCATTCTTTATCAAAATTTCTTCCTGATTCTCATGACTATATTTTTACTTGTTGCAGTACATCCACTTCTGTAGATGATAATAATAATAATAATAATAATATATATATTTTTTTTTCAGAAAGAAAATCCTGATGATGTTAAAACGGATCTTGTAACATTGAATGTTTCTCCAAGCAAACTAAGTGATGGCACTTTAGACAGTATTCATGATCCGATCATGTCAAATATTATACCTGATTGCTTACCACCAGATTCATTTTCTAATATTTTTGCACAAACATCACTGCCAGCTATAACAAAAGTTGAAAATGAACCCGGTCAAGTTCAAGGATATTCTCAATATACCGAGCAGAAAGATCCAGCTTCATTACAATCTTCACTTTCTCCGAATCAAAATGGATCACTTCCAAATAGCCAAAATGTTCCGTCCAGAAGAACTGGGAACGGACGTCCCAAATTTTAGTAAGTTTTCTTTTAGGTTATTTATACATGACTCGAAATTTTCTCACAATGAATTTTTTATTATGCTAAGTTTCCAAAAATTTAATTGTTTTTTTTTTTGATTTTTCATTTGCGAATTTAATGATTGACTGAGGTGATGATATATAAGACTTACTAAAATTTCAAAATGACTTCTTTCTTTTGTTATTATCTTGTCAAATAAAAAAATTGGAGAAAGTGTTGTTTGAGTTCACTAATTTCAGTAACTGATTTCTTCATTTTTCTCTCTTTTTTTTTTTAGTAAAGTGGAAAAAACACCGTTAGTAGCGGAAGATGGTTGTAGGCACTGTTTTCACTGCAACGGACAAGTACGGCCACAGATGTGCGGTGGTAATAGACACAGGTATTTTTTGCATAATAGCTTTTTAAAAAATTCTCTATTTTATACAATCATTTTTCTCAAATTGTAGATTTGAAGTGCTCTGTATTTTGCTTCTAATGAATAGAAAAATTTTTTGAATAAATGAATAGAAAAAATTGTGGCCTGTAAATGGCTTGTTAATTTTTACCCCTAAATAACTTGTTAATTCCATCATTCCTCAAATCTTATTTTTTTAGATGGCGTTGCGTCGATAAAAAATGCCGAAAATGGTACGGTTGGGTCAGAAGTCATGAGGAGATACCTAAGGTATTAAATTTAGTAATTTTAATTGGTTTATTTTGTTATAGGTGATGTAAATAACCTATTATTTATTTTAGGATTTGGGCAAAAAAGGAAGATGGAAAGATCTTATCAAAATTCGGAGGAAATCGCCATCAGTTAGTGAAACTGAGGGTGAACAGGTTGTTTTGAGGCAGTTCAATTTATTTTCCATGTTTTAGCCTACTTAATCTAAAAAACTTGATAAATGTAGTGAATAAACTTTTCTTTCTTTATCACAAGATTTCGTTTCTTATAGGTCTCTCTCATATGCTTCATTATTTTCAGAGTGAATCAG